AAGTATTAAAAAGGAAAAAGATATCAAGCTACCTTTTACTTCGAAGATGATTAAAAACAAACCTACAAGTTTGAGATCTTACAATGTCGGTGAATTCGTTTTTGTTAAAGTTCCTTATTTTTGGTGGTTGCCTGGTTTAATAGTAATGAAAGAGGCACAAAGACTTAAAGTAAAATTATTTCCTTTTGATCATTTTGATACTCTGTTAACTTTACATACTAGAATAGATAAATTGAGAATATATCCAATTGAAGATATTGATATGAATTATTTGAAACTAGTCTCCAGAAACCAAAATAAAGCCAAAAGATTACTTCAGACATCAATCAGTAAATTTGAATTTTTGAAAACAAAGATTTATAAGCATCCTAACTTGCTTGATGACATAGTATTGAAGATTAATGATTCAGTAATGGAAATTGAAGCTGCAGATTCATTATATCAAATGGAAATTTCTCAAGAAGAAATCGAGCCTCTTCCTTCTTTTAATTCGAAAAAACTCGTCAATAACAAGAAAGTAAAAGGGTTAAGTAACTATAGTGTAAACGACTTAGTATTTGTCAAGGTTCCTCAATATTGGTGGTTATTTGGTATAGTGATGGCTAAAAAAGAAAATTATCTTTTAGTAATAGTGTTCCCTTGTAATTTATTTTTTCCATTAATTCTACGTGGACAAAAAGATGTGCTAAAAATATATCATATAGCAGATATTGATATAAGTTATGTCAAAAAACTTTCTGAAAATCCAAAATATAATCAAAGATTTCTTAAAAGCTCATTAAAAGCCTTAACAAACATAAAAGAAATCAAAAGATTGCCAGTTCAAAGTGAACTTTGGTTAAAATTTTCTACATATACAGTGAGAGGATCAATTAAATAATTCAGTGGTTATACATACATAAATCCGGCATGCCAGAGTGAAGAACATCGCGCATAGATATTATAGAGTATACAAGTATGAATGCATAATTAATTAAAAATAATGCAATTAAGTGATAATAAACATTAATAAGTTTATGAAAAATGGTACGGAGATAATGAAAACGAATAAAGACATGAAAATAGATTGGTTGTCACAATTAAAAGAATGAGTGTAAATTTAAAAAGATTGTGAGTTATGCTGTGAAAGATCAATTTCAAGAAGTGCAAACAATGAAGAGAAAAAAATCTAAACTCAGAACCAAATTAATTTTTGATAAATTTTTATTAAATCTCATAGTGATAATTCTATGAAAAGTGTCGAAAATGTTACATTCAAGGTATTATATAGATAATATAAACTCAAATTTATTAAGAACGGCTTCTTATCTTAACTTTGAAGCCACTTATAACTATTTCTACTTTATTTTTATAAAAAATGTCTTAATTACAAATCATCAGCATATTTCTGAAAATTTTATTTATCTTTTTTTATTTTACCTCATCTTTCTTATTAAGAGTCCGAAAGGACGTAAAAAAAAAATTATTGCATGAATAATTATCATTTATGGAGTCCTGACGTTATCGATAACGGAAAAGTAGCTGCCGACAAGTAGGTCGTTATGCATTGCAAGCGTAGGGTGCTGATGTGTTTTTTTTGTCTACAGTTTCAAATTTTGGGGCATTTAGAATTGGGAAACTTTCAGATAGAAATGTATTCGACTTACTTTTACGAATGTTTTTATCAAATAGATAAAAAATCTGATTTTTGGTATGAACAGTCGAATGGTAAGTGATTGCACAGCGTACAACTGTCGAGAGGAGTGTTCGCAACTGTATTACGCGAGTAACGAGGTACAGCGAGCCTCATGCTCCTTTATAATGTGCGCTTTTCAATTCCGAATCTGAGGTCGCCGCCAGTCAAAGTTTCGTTTTTCGGGAAACTACTTTGGCCATGATGGGTAGTCAAAAGTGCTAAGGGTCTCTGATCGGCAAACATACTGAAGCATAGGTCGCGGGTTGAATGTAGAAACAAGTGAGAAGTCAAATGGTAAGTGAGTGCACAGCGTCCAACGGACGAGAGGAGTGTTCGCAACTGTATTACGCGAGTAACGAGGTACTGCGAGCCTCATGCTCCTTTATAATGTGCGCTTTTCATTTCCAAATCTGAGGTCGCCGCCAGTCAAAGTTTCATTTCTCGGGAAACTACTTTGGTAATGATGAGTAGTCGAAGGAAGTAAGTATATCTGATGGGGAATCATACCGTAGCATAGGTTGCGGGCCGATGGTAGAAACACGTGCGCAGTCAAATGGTAAGTGATTGCACAGCGTACAACTTTCGAGAGGAATGTTCGCAACTGTAGTACGCGAGTAACGAGGTACAGCGAGCCTCATGCTCCTTTATAATGTGCGCTTTGCAATTCCGAATCTGAGGCCGCCGCCAGTCAAAGTCTCATTTCTCGGGAAACTACTTTGGCAATGATGGGTAGTCAAAAGTGCTAAGGGTCTCTGATCGGCAAACATACTGAAGCATAGGTCGCGGGTTGAATGTAGAAACACGTGAGCAGTCAAATGGTAAGTAAGTGAATAGCGTACAACGGATGAGAGGAGTGTTCGCAACTGTAGTACGGGAGTATCGAGGTACAGCGAGCCTCATCCTCCCATATAATCTGCGCTTTTCGTTCCGAAACTGAAGTCGCCGCCGGTCAAAGTTTCATTTCTCGGGAAACTACTTTGGCAATGATGGGTAGTCGAAGGAAGTAAGTATATCTGATGGGGAAACATACCGTAGCATAGGTCGCGGGCCGATGGTAGAAACACGTGTGCAGTCAAATGGTAAGTGATTGCACAGCGTATAACTGTCGAGAGGAATGTTCGCAACTGTAGTACGCGAGTAACGAGGTACAGCGAGCCTCATGCTCCTTTATAATGTGCGCTTTTCATTTCCGAATCTGAGGTCGCCGCCAGTCAAAGTTTCATTTCTCGGGAAACTACTTTGGCCATGATGGGTAGTCAAAAGTGCTAAGGGTCTCTGATCGGCAAACATACTGAAGCATAGGTCGTGGGTTGAATGTAGAAATACGTGCTAAAAATATATCATATAGCAGATATTAATATAAGTTATGTCAAGCAACTTTCTGAAAATCCAAAATATAATCAAAGGTTTCTTAAAAGCTCATTAAAAGCCTTAACAAACGTAAAAGAAATCAAAAGATTGCCAGTTCAAAGTGAACTTTGGTTAAAATTTTCTACATATACAGCGAGAGGATCAATTAACTAATTCAGTGGTCATACATACATAAATCCGGCATGCCAGAGTGAAGAACATCGCGCATAGATGTGCATTATAGGGTATACAAGTAGATAATGTATTAGTGAGATGAAGCGCGTTATTTTTTATTTATGTATTTATCTAGTCGTTTATTGAGTGTTTATTGATACAGTGAGCATTAATTCCTTAATATCGTTATAACCACAACGTTCGAATATATTACAATATTTATTGAGGGGCTGTCACTTATATGCAAAAACATGATTAGGCCTGACTTGACGATCTTGCGATATAAGATGACTTCTAGTAAAATAAATAAAAAAAAATTATAGATAAATAAATTTAATAGTGACAGAAAGCATAGGCTCAGCTCAGCGATCTCATGATAAATCCGGTGAATTATCGTACATGAGTAGCAAGGCCGAGCTTTCATGATATGCTTTTATTGTGCGCGCACTGCGGCTGGCAGCTTCAAGGAAATAATCCGTTTTCGCGAGAAGTCTCATTTTCTTCTATTGCGTGCACAGACATGGATAATAAAAATAAATTGAGTACCGGGTAACTTAACTACCATTTCATGACGCAATAATCATTTACAATATATAGCTGAGGTCAATCTTCTTACGGGAGTAGCTGGAATATTGAAATACTCGAAGTATCTTTCTCATGAGACAAATAAGAGGAGCCCCATTGCCGGTTTCATGTAAAGATTTTTGATTAATTGAAACTTATAGGCCCAGCACGTCGATCTCGCGGAAAGTCCGAGGTGAAGTGTCATACGTAATTAGCCAGCGCCGCAAGCACGACTTTATTTTATGCTTTCATAATGTCCGCATTTCCACTAGATTATGGCGATGACCGTCAAAATATTAGCATGTGCATTGATTGCAGTATACACTGTATTTACATGACTCCATGTGAACAGGGATGATGCATGAAAAAATAAACAATAAATACCAACTCGAACTCATTAAGTTTCATTTATTATTTTATTACATAATAAGCACTAAATACGCATCAAGTTGTACAATTATTTTACATAAAACTATAGTTAATAGGTATTTACAAGGCTTTTTATGACAATCAAGACCACATCCCACTGTTGATATATTTTATACTCAGTTTTCGAATATCTATAGCTAATATAAATTTAATCATCTAAATATGACCTCTTATTCTATTTTGAAAGCAAAATATCCTTCTTTTCGTTGTATAGAAATTCTAGCTGTTGATTTGTGTGTGTTGAGCTGTTAAATGTGTCTTGGCAGATTACCGATAATGCAATTTTTACACACTATGGATAATTTACTCACTGAATGATTTAGTAAGTTTGTAAGAAAATTAAAATATAAAGATTTAGTTTTTTTTTGCCAAGTGTGTTAATGATTGTAAGTTTGGTCAATGATACTGTATTAAGCGTATTAAGTGTCCTTTGAAGGATGTGGTTGTAGTTAATTGACAATTTTTTTAAGTTATGAAGCGATCCTAAGTCAATTGAGGTTGGTAGTTGTATACCAAGAACATTCAGCTCTTCAAGAGCAGGGAGAATATTAACAATGTTATTTGTTACGTTTTTAAATAATGAATTGCCTAGAGCATAATGCAAAGTGATTTAACTTGTGTAGATGAAATGTTATATTCGAGGACTGACTGGAGTGCTGATTAGGTAATAACAAGAACGGCCTCTTTTGGATTCCCTATCAGCTTCTCCTGTCAAACCACAGAATACATAAGCTTGATCATTTTACAGCTGTGTAGTGATTTTAAATAGAAAAGGTGTATATCATATGATGAAAAAAAGGTGAGTCGATTAATAACAACAGTTTATGTCATATTCCATCATGAATTTTCCAAGAGCCATTATAGTTTTTTCTTTATTAGTTGTTTTTGGGATGCTTAATTTTCTTTGAATTGTCTCAAGAGGTATATGATTTTTGTCAATTAAATATTTTATAATTGTTGGTCTACCATGTATTACAGCAAAATCTAATGGAGATAACTTTAGCTTACTTACAACATCAAGCTTAGCTCCTGCTTCAAGAAGCTTCTCAAGTGTGATGCAGTCTTGGGCATAATATATAGGAGTTTCATCTAAGTAATTTTTAGCATTCGTATCAGACCCACATTCTAATAAAAAATTTACTGCCTGGATATTTTTAAATACACATGCCAAGTGTAACAAGGTCATATCATTCTTTAATTTGGTATTAACTACTTCTTTTATATTTGTGGCATTCAAATTACGAATATTACTGAAGTCTTTCCTGTCTTTTACAATGTTTGATAATACCATCTGAGTTATCTTATGGTTGTCTTTATCTTCACTGATGTTAGAACAGGATTGGCTACTCTGGCTGGATAATTGTTCTGACATGATTGACCAAAGGTATTGATGATCAAGGCAACAATTTCTGTAAGAAATTAGAATGGCTTTGTGTTATATAGCCATCAAGTACGTATAGTCAACTAGCTTGAAGCACAAGATCTATAAACACAAAAGAACATGGAAAATTAAATTCTTGCACTGCCTGCAGCATGATGCAAAGTGATTTAACTAGTTTTACTAACATGTTTAGATGAAATGCTGCATTCGGAGACTGACTAAAGTGCTGATTAGGTGATTACATGAACGGCCTCTTTTGGATTTCTTATCAGCTTCTCTTGTCAAACCACAGAATACATAAGCTTTCTATATTACCAGCGCATTCTTATGACCTTGCAATTTACTTATGGTTTTAAATGTTAACCAAATAATAGTATGAAATTCTGCATTCTGAGGCTGACTGAAGTGCTGATTAGGTAATTACAAGAACGGCCTCTTTTGGATTCCCTATCAGCTTCTCCTGTCATACCACAGACTACATAAGCTTTCTATATTACCAGCGCATTCTCATGACCTTGCAATTTACTTAGGTTTTAAATGTTAACCAAATAATAGAATGAAATGCTGACATTATGTATTCTGAGGCTGACTGAAGTGCTGATTAGGCAATTACAAGAACGTCCTCTTTTGGATTCCCTATTAGCTTCTCCAGTCAAAGCACAGAATACATAAAAAGCTCTTTCAATTTAATTATTATTTTATAGGAGACATTTCTTGGCACAACAATAATTGAAGGGTGCCACATAATAAAAAAATAGAATTCAATAGAAATTTCAGAAAGTCTAACTAACGGATCAGTCTTTGCACTAACATTGCTCAAACAAAGAAAGCATGGCAGATCATAGATAGAACAATTTTTCTTTGGATTCTATTCAACAAAACCTTGATTTTTTTAGATCTCTCAAAGATTGAATTTCAATTAACAGTTCGTATTCAAGGCTTTTTATAGTTTGGCGATTTTATGATTACTTGAGATTACTGTATTAAGATAGCTAAAAAGGAAGGTTAGTAGTGAAAACTTACTTTATTTTACTATAAATCTTCTTAAGAGTTATTCTGGCTTTGGAATCTTTCACCACTTGAAACTATACACCAACCAATTTCTTAAAGTTATTTCACAATATTGCAAAAATGTACTAATATGAGATAAAATGATGCCGAGAAAATCAAGCTTACAATTGTCCGTTACGTCCAGAATGAGAGTGAGAGAGAGAGAGAGAGTTGCCGCCGCTTCAGAGATGGCGCGCAATTAAAGCGGAAATGCCATTCGTAATTCGCGACCCGCCATGTGTTTAAACTTTCCAGGTCGCGAATCAACATCTAGACCCGACGGGAAATATTTGTCAGACGGCTTGTGAAGCGTCCTAAGGTCTGATGGTATTCTCTGATCAGGGGCTGAATTAGATTGTAATGGTGACCGGATTCGCGCTTGATCAAGCCTAATAATAAGTGATTTTTGCCGACTTCAAAAAGGAGAAGGTTCTGTATGTTGAGGTTGGCAAAGCGCGACGGACCAGGTTTGATGTCGCCATGCGCATCAGGCCTGCCCTCGTGCGATCGTAAGCTCGTGGAATGGGAAGCAGGCGAAGACAAGAACAACGCTTATGTCCAGATTATAGAGGGTACACTTTATTGCAATGCCAGGGGGGAGATCCCGGAGCACGACTCTCCATACACTCGTTCGCGAAACTCTGAATAAGCACAGCCAAACTTTTCAAGTGATCGGAGACGAGCGAAGGCAACCACCGGAAACGACTCTGCCTAAAAACAGCCAAGGTCGCTAATAATCCTCTCACGGTATCAGCGTTTGTTTTCTCTCGTGCCCATAGACATAGTAAGTATAGACCGTCAGTCTCTTTGATATGCCGACGCTCCAGAGTAGAAAGAGAGAGAACGAGCCGAGTGTGCACGTCTGTCTCTTACTAATGGAGTCACGCGGGCTCGCCTCGCTCGAGTGTACGTTTGGCGCGCTCAGCCGTGCAGTTCAAAAGCGAATATGGAAAACAAATTTTTTTATGTATGCGTTGATCGTTTAAAAACACGCTTGTCTAATAGTTGAAGACAAAATGTATAGTAATGTACTTTTTTTCAGTTATATCATCAATTTGTTTCGTGATGAAAACGCGCTGCAATATATGTGAACATGAAAGGTATGCAGTGGAAAGTTGACAAAGGATGCGTATTACATTTTATAAAATATTTTTACACCAGTTGAATTATGAGTTAGCTATGGTCAAATAGTTAATCGATAACTTTAATCCCAAGTACATTAGGCTAAGCCCCTCCCCCTGCCTACAAGTTTATATAATACTTCCAATACTAATGTAACATATGCAACGGTAGCTATGTCGTTTAAGGCGTCGCATCTTTTTGTACTCGCGCATTAGAATCGTGGGTTCAAGCCCCTCTCAGAAATTTTTTTTTATTTCTAAGTAAATATGTCAACGTTGCGTTTTTATTTATTTTTTATTTTAATCAATGCACGACTAATTAATGGTATAATTTAATTTAGTTCAAGCTATTGCACGAATGACCTTATTTTGAACTGCGTGTTTCGTACTGTTGATCACAACCCATTTTATTCTCTATTGTCAATATTTCTTATTGCTACATGAATTAAGAAAAAAAAAATATGTATTTATGACATAATAATTTTATGTCGTTTCCATCGCATCCCTGTAGTACGTATACTATTTTGTAGCACTCATATATACATTTATATTATATTCGTTTTATGTCAATCAATCACTCAATATAATTAATCGTAATCCCAAGTACGTCAGGTTAAGTCTTTACGCCAACGAATATGTATATACTTCCAATACAAATCTATCATATGCAGTGGTAGATGTGCAAGTTAAGGCATCGGAACTTTTTGCACACACACACTTGAGTTCTGGGTTTGAATCTCCATTTACGCACATTTTTTTTATAAATAAATATTTGTATCTATTATTATTATTATTATTACTATTATTACTATTGTTGTTGTTGTTATTATGATTATTATTATTTTGTTGTTCTGTTAATATTTGCGTTATATTTTTTTCGATCAACACATTTGAGCTATTTTTCTTTATAACTTACTTTATGTATCGTAAGCTACGGAAAGATATAGTCTACTAACAGTCGAGCCACCGTATCGTTTATCATTATCATTTTTATTTAAACAATGTTCTGTATAACTACATAAATTGTTATGAATGTCAATCAGCTCCACATTTTAAAACATTTGTGATAAGTTCTTGTTTTTCTTCTCTTGAAACAGCTTCATAATATAATAAATATAATAAATTGGCAAATTTATTGATGTTATGTACGAAAAAAAATTTCATTATTCAAAACATAAAACATTTATTATTAATATTAAGAAAGCATACTATGAACACAATGGATTTTTTAACACGGTAAAATATTATTTACAGTGATAGTACTTTTAAAAAACAAACACCACTGCCCCTAAACACCTTTGAATAATAAAAGTTTATTCAATCTCATTCTTATTCTTTCTTTTTTTTCATCGTCTGTTGAAGCTGCATAATGCAGACGAATTTCAAAATATTTTTTTGCAATTATTTTTATTAGTTGCGTGCGATGGTCTGATAAAATTTTTTGTTCAAAAACGTGTTCATTTTGATTGAAAATACTGTTTGGTAACACATGCATTGTCTTTAACGTCATTTTTTCTAACACGTTCTCTTCAGTTACAGAGATTTGTAATCTGAAGATTCTCTCAGCAATTCGGCAAATCTCTATAACATCCAACGAAGCAGAAATTAATTTGCCATAGCATTTGCGTCGTTGTAATTTTGATATTGGCAAAACTTTATCTTTTGCAGTTTCATTGAAATCTTCTTCTACTTCCAATTGTTTACAACAAGTTACGCACGAAATTTTTTTTTTAACTATTTTTACGACACTGCCAAATATGTAGGCAACTATATCGTTAACATACTCGCTCAAATGAATATCATCAAGAAGATCAAAAATGGTCTGAAGTTCAATAGTAGTGATTTCTATTGGGTCTTCATCTTTTTTTTTAGCGTTGACATCTACTCTCGCAAGTATTGTGTCATCGCGCGGCGTACAGTTAGCCGATAAAGGAACAGTAATACTAACGTGCGCAAGTAACTTGCGATATGCCCCTTTGAATTGCCTAGCGGTAGGATTATTGTTAAATCCTCCGAATCTTCTAATGCACGAAAAAAAAGTTTCTAAATGATCCTGTGACAGTTTGTATGTTAACAGAAAGTGAAACTTTGAGTATGTTGTAAATAAATCTTCTGCGATAGCTAGTACATTTCTCAATCCAGTAATTAATCCTAAGAAACCAGTATGTTGTTTAGTTTTCAGAATGGGTGTACCGTTAATTGTCAACAACTGTAAATATTTTACAAGTTCGTTAACCTTGCTTTTTTTTCGTGCAAATTACTTCGCGATAAGGCATGCTTTCGAGGATCTTTGTTATAAACATTTCTTGAGTTTAAAATATCGAAAGCATCATTAATGTTCTGACAAAATGTACTAGTTGCAGCAGAGTTTTCGAATTGTTTCATTTGCAAATCTTCACGACAAAAATCCAGTGCTTTCGCAACGCTAGTGCTGAGTGTTTGTGCAGCAATATTCACTTTCATTATTTCATTTTTGAAATATATATGCTTTTTCCGCAGTTTTGTTGCAGGGTGCATTAGCTCTCTTTCTTGTACTTCTTGTAGTAACTTAATATATTGAAACGAGATTAATTCACCGTTATCATCGATAAGGTCATGTTTTGATAGAGTATTGCGAGCCAATTTTAATGCATGACACGAATCCAGCATTGCATAAATCTTTATAGTTTTCCCATTATGAGTGTAGTTAAAACAAATCTCAGCCGTACTTTTTCTCATACTAGTTCCGAGATTTTCGACCATACTTATATTCGATGAAACTCCGTCAAATGTTATATTTTTTATTTCAATATTATTGTGAAAACAAGCATTCAACACTTC